AATTTAAAAAATATATTGAAGTTAATTTTCGAAGAGCAGCAAAATGACAGAATAACCATCCATATTCTAATATAGCTCGGCGATTATATATCCTCAACAGATATATTTTCATCGAACGTTTAATATATCTAGACTTAGTCATTATATTTTGCAGCTTTTTTGAGTACTTATTAATATATAGAGTATGTTATCCATTAGTTTATTATAGAAATTCGAGATGAAACTAACTTTGGACTAGATGTGCATAAGTAAGCATAATATTTATAGCAAGCACACATTGAAATGCTGTTTGGATCCATACTCAAATGCATGTGTATTTAAGGACCTTACTAGCATTGATACAGACACTATCTTACTAAATTGAACAGAGAGGTTTCTATTAGATAGGCCGGGAAAACAGAGCTCTTATGATTTATATGATATTTTCATGTTATGGATTCAATATGCTAATTTTTTTGATTGATATAGAAAAATGAATCTTAATTATATAGTAGTGTTATGTTCCAAAAAAGAACGTGGCTGTCTATAAAACATAAAACGCTTGCCGTCTACAACTCCAAAGATGTAGCCCCCGAAACAAGAAAAGAAAAGGAAAATTAGTATTACCAGTTATCCTATTTTGAAACGGGTAAATACATAATGTGAAGCTGACAATATAAAGACAGTAATTTAAAGATGACCTCAAGTTTTCGCAACTCGGTCATATTGGTAAGCATACTTAGAGGAACTCACCTAGTCCGGAGTCCATTGTATGCATTATCATTTTCAAAGTCGGACTGTGGTATTAGAGATAGAAACAGGATAGACGCGGCGGTGATGGGAGCTAGGGGGCTGACAGTAGGTTTTATAAGAGACGTGGTCCATATGACAAAGGCCTGGCCATGAGACTTACTCAGAGGCTTTGGCCTCGAATTAGTCCCCAAGACGCAGGGGAGGGCGAATAACACCTCGAGTGGCACAGATGGGATGGCAGGGGTCGAGTTAAATATGTGAACCATGGAGAAGGCAGACGGATCTTAAGGGGCAAGAGAGAGACTGTGGTAAGATTTATGGAAGGAGGACTGCGTAACAATATGGCAGACTCTGATCAACAGTCCCAGCACAAGGGTGAAGGAGGGTAAGGACGCGAGCGTGGAGTGCGGAGGGCTCTCATGAAAGCCGCTCAAAAGGGCACATCGTACCACATCCAGTTACGCAAGTAAAAAATTGTGACAGTGAACGCGTGACAAAAGGATATATAAAATGTGAATAGACCAGGGCAGAAAGGGAGATACCATAACGGTTTAGCACACGTTTGGTCAAAGGATCGGCTTCAACTGTCTCTTTAACGAGTTGTAATATGGTGCTACGAATGGCAAAACTCACTGACGATGCCGACTACGATGCCGGCGAAA